CAGATCTCACGCCCCTTGCGCGCCAATGACCATGAATACTCGCCTCTGTATGAAAGCTCCAGTCGACTTGCCTGCAACCTTCGATCAGTGACCAAGGCGAGTCCTGGCCCGTGGGGCAGTGGCCTTGCTGGAACTGGAGGCAGTACTTGGTTTTGGTGAGATCGGGTTTCTGCTTCAATCGCCGCTCTCCGTGTGCGAAGCAGCAATCCTGACCTGCCCGGAGAACAGTTGAGCCCCCGGCTCACTCCTTCAGAAGCTTTCTTCTCTATTGGAACAGAACTCCAAACAACCAAGTATTAGCTTATTTACTCACATGAAGGCAGGGTATATACTCATGCACCCCTGTGCTGGTCTGTTCACTTCATGGCGCGAAACCCCGGCCCCGCCACTGTCCATGTCCAGAATCCTTCAATGATCAGGGGATCTTGAATCTCTGATCCGTTCATTTCAAGATCATTGGAGAAATCTTGGAGGCCCCTTCACAGGACTGCCCGCGTTTTGCAAAGCGCATGCTCGTCAGAACAGTTTGCCCATAGACAAGGGCTCAGCTCACACAAATGCAAGATTGGAACACAAGTACACGGATGACTGTATCATCTAATGGGTTGCCTCATCACCCCACTTGCCGTACTTGAAGCATCAAACTTGCTAACGAGAAAACGAGGAAACATGTCCAGTCTCCGAAGCAAGTACTCTTTCCATAAGACTCGCTTGTTTGCATCCCTACCTGGGAACATGTGCAGTGACTGCGAGCTTGCATGGTGTCGAACAAGATGAGACTTTGGGCAACAGTGTGACCAATGTGTGAGGAGTGCAACTGACGGAATCCAAGGGGCGTCACAACTGTTGTTAGAGTATCTTCTAATCTACCAGCTGGCCAAACAAGGGCTGAATAATCACCCGCATGATTCTGGTATGACCTAAATTGTTTGTTTTAAGCCCCCAACAAGCCCATTCTCATTATTCCTGGCCTGGCATACGACTTTACATTTGCTTCGTCAAAAGGAAGCGCGTTTAAATATATATATATTATATATATATATGTATATATATATATATACATATTTATATATATATATATATATATTCGCGGCATGCTAGTCCCCTGCCGGCCTCGTGAACACTTGCCCCGCTCCTTGGCCATTGGCAAACGATGGTGGCAGTAGGTCACACACCCAAAAAACGAAATCACTCAAACAAGCGAAATGGAGGAACCCCTCTTGAGAGCAATTAGATCATTTCAAGGCATTGCCCAACTTGCATGCATCAGGTCCCTTACAAATTGGTGTATAGCCTGAACTCCCCTTTGCAAGACCCGGCCATCCTTGTCAGCCTCGTAAACGATGTTTCGATGGTAGTTGCAGATGAAAGGCTACGGACGAACCTATGGGAAAGCCCACACGATACCCTCAGAGTCAACTTGAGACACAAGGTGCTTGCTTGCGCGTCACTCAACATCGCCCAAGCAAAACACCCTCCCTTTTGCAGGTATGGGCAAGCGATTTCCCTCCAATCATGAAAGTGGTTCCACAGTGGGATTGCCACCACTAAATTATCACATCAAAGGGGATTTCTATATCACGGAAGTGGCAACCTAAAACCCCTGCATTTCAAAACCATGGTCCTCAACGTAAGGTGAGTCCTCTGTGGATGGCCTGGATGCCAGGAAGATGTCAATTTACAAGAGACAGGAAATCCTCAGCGTGGTCTACTGGCAGAGATGTGCTGCCTGTTGGATGATCGTCACAGTTTGGCACGTTCAGTTACTGCGACTTGAAATGCGTTGAGACAACCACCGCTGATATATGCATCACAGACACCCCTCGACATGCCAAAGAGACGTTCAGGATTCAGTGTGTCATTGGACTGGAGTGTGTACATGTACCAGTAAAGTCTGGCAGAGCCAGGGCTAGTTTGGAGCACGCTTCTTCTCCCCTTCTCCATCTCTCTCTCTCTCTCTCTCTCTGTCTCTGTCTCTTTCTGTTTATCTTTCTCTCTTCTCTTTCTCTGCCTCCTCTTTGTCTTTCTCTGTCACTGTCGCGCTCTCTCTCTCTCTCTCTCTCTTTCTCTCTCCCTCTCTCACCCTCTCTCTCTTTCTCTTCCTCTTCCACTTTATCTTGCGCCTGCACATGCCAAGAAAACTACGCAACGGCACTTCTCTCTTATCGATTCCCGCTTCTCTCTTCTCTGTCTTCTCTCATCTGTCTTCTCTCTTTTCATTTTATCTCTTCTCTCTTCTCCCCTCTCTCCTCTCTGACCTCTCTTCTTCCTCTTCCTCTTTTCTCTTTTCTTTCTCTCTTGTTTTTGATTCTCTTCTTCTCTTACACTTTATCTTGCTCTTTCTACGCCTCCTCTTTCTCTTTATCTGTCGCTGTCTCTTTCTCTTGCCCTTTCTCTTCTCTCGACTATGTCTCTGTCTCTCTTTTTTCCTCTCTCTCTCTCTCTCTTTCTTATTCTCTGCCTCATCCTCTTCCTCTTCCTCTGTCTGTTTCTCTTTATCTTTCTTTCTTGTTGTCTCTTTCTTTGCCCCTTTCTCTCTCCACAGCCGACAAAAGTGACAAACACGAGAAACTTTGAGTTTTTCAGGTTGCAGCCCGCAAAGTCCGCAGAGGATTTCGCGAGCGAAGTGAACACGTGAAAGAGATTGACCCACAGAAAGTCCGTGGAGGGTTCACAGTTTGAAGGTTGCGCGAGCTGAAAAGCGAACAGAGGACGAATCGTTTGAGGTCGACCACCCGAAAGTCTGCAAAGGCTCGATCGGGTGAAGTGAAAATCGCAAAAACACATACTGACACACACACACACACAAGTCTTTGAGGGTCGACCCACCCAAAGCGCGCAAAGGGTTCAATGATTCTGGGCTGCGAAGCTGTGCGCGCCGCCGTGCCAATGGTTCCGCATCCGCTCCGATACCGCTCCGATTTCTTTATTATTCATAGCTTCTTTACGTGTAACGCAGGCAGTTCTGAGAGAGATACAGAGAGCATGCTAACCTCAAATAGTTCCACTGCTACGGAAGTTTCTGGTTAAACTTCCTTTGATACTATGTTCAGCAAACTTGATTTTGACTCACCAGCTTGAAGGCCAAATGGTCTGGCGCATGGGGTCAAGAAATGAGAAAGATTGCAATCCACAAACTTGTAATCTCTTAAATCAATCCCAGACGAACTCTGCACTCACCGGTCCTGCGGCCAAGTTGCAAAGAATTTGCACAGCACTGTGCCTTTGAAGATAGTTGGGCGTGCATCGAGTATTAGGGGTGCATTGCAGCCCTGTGCAGCTGTCATTATCGCCGCGAGCCAAGCTTTCTTCCCAAACGGGGGGTTCGCTCGCTCGCGTCAACACCACCAATCCACCAAAACGATGCCCATGAGTTTCTAACATGTTCTCACATACCTGGTAAAAGACTCCGTATCTGTATGTTCCAAAAGCCATGACCTGCGTGAAAAATGGCTGGAGAGCTACCCAGCTTGGCTCGTGGCTGGAATCCCGGACTTCCGGACAAAACGGGCGCTCAGTGAAACACGGACAAGGTCAAATAGATGATATGTGGAATTTCGTGATCATGACATCATGGTGAAGTGTGGCATTGCTGGTGTTGGTATGTGTTTGTATGTGTCGGTATGTGTGGGTATGTGTCGGTATGTGTTGGTATGTGTTGGCATGTGTTGGCATGTGTTGGTATGTGTGTTGTATGTGTTTGTATGTGTTTGTATGTGTGGTGACTGAAGTCCTATGACGGCCCTTTGGGCTTGTCATATCTGAGTCGGCCCAGACTTCTTAACTACGGCAGGGGTTTGATGCCTCGGTGAAGCAAACTATGCAGTGAAGAGCTACTGAAACTTGACTCCTGCATCCTGCATCAAAACCCTGCAGACCCAAAAGCCCACACGTAACAGCGTTACAGCCGGGTGGTACTCGGGTCCCGACTCGGTGAGCCAAAACAGCTGTAGACAAGCTCGTGACGTGGGTGGTTATCGTGTAACCCAAGGAGCATCCCAGACAAAGTGGAAACGCAACTTGAGACACCAAAGGCAGGAATCAAAGCAGGATTCCAAACTGTGGGAATCACAGGGCCTGCTACTTATGCTTGTGAATGATACTGTGAATGTTTCTCGGTAACTCACCTTTGATCCTGGCTTTGGTGTGCGGTCACTTCAGCCATAGTAAATAGCGCAATAATGACACCTTGTTTGCAGTTGCCTTTCCCAAAGCTCGCTAAAGCCAAAGCCATCTCCAAGGGTCGCGATGCCAGGCACTAAGGTCGAAACCAGCGGACGAAAGCTTCAGTTGAACATGCGATGTGCAGTCTCTGGTCCATATTTGGTGACCTTCAACAAAAGTACATTATGTTCAAACAAGCTTGAGGTGTCCACTCAGTCCCACACAACCGTGACCCCTGATGGTGATCCTCAATGTCAACACACACACACACAAACAAACATCCCTTCATGGACTGATAAGGCTCATTCGATGGCAAAGGCCATGAATAAGGGTCCTGCTCTGTGCCTCGGTTGGAGGTTCATAAGGATCATTGTACCTAGATAGTGTGATAGGTTGTTTGCTAAGTGGCCGTGACAAACTGCGACATGTCAAAACCAGCACAACCTCCAAATAGCTGCCAACTAGCTTTCATGGTGCTGTCTGTTCAGAACGGACTACGCGTTCACTAGATATCACTTGTGCACAAATAGGCTCTGTGAGTGGGGAGGTGGCAAGTGCTGCCAGCTGTCTCACCAGGCGCTACGCTCAAGGAGACCTTCAGAAAGCTGCTTCTGGTGGGGTTGAAGGTACATTTAGGTCAAAGCAATAGGAGTAACATTCATTCAAGGTTAAGCTGTCCACTTGACTTAAGACAGACCGAAGTGGACTTGGGCCTGAAAAGATTAAAGTTTGAAACACGTTGCCAAGTGTTTGCCAACAAGTCAACTCTACCACTCAGCTTGAAGTTTGCCACAAATCAACTCAGTTTTCATGGGACGGCGCATTCGGAACCAGGC